AATTTCTTTACTGAAAGAGGGGTCAAGCATTGGAACAGGCTGCCCAGGGAAGTGGTGGAGTCACCACCCCTGGAGGTGTTTAAAAAACAGGTAGATATGGCACTTCAGGACATGGTTGAGCAGGCATGGTGGTGTTGGGCTGATGGTTGGACTTGATGATCTTAGAGGTCTTTTCCAACTTTAATGATTCTGTGATTCTACGATTCTATGACTCTGCCAAGTGGATGGGATTGGGCCTTCAGTGTGGAAATATCAGTGTGTTCACTGTCCTTGTATGGGTTTGTTAGAGTGGACTTGCAGACTTACTGTCTTGTAGCCCAGGAAATATTTTTAAGGCCAGCTGGAGCTGGAGGGTGAAAGCCGGACACCAGGGTTCTTTCTGATGGAGGTCTAAGAAGGATGGTCATATGTGCATGTGGCAGCAGGACACCTGGTCTTTGAGACTGCTCCTTTTCGGGGGCTCTTGGGATAAAACCCCCAACACTGGTGAGATCCTGTGCTGCCAGGCTGGTCTAAACTTCACCAGCCTATAAACCCAAAACTCTGGACAGACAATGTGCATGTCATTCTTTGGACCAGATTTGACTTCCCAGCTTGCTTGCTTTATGTCAGGCCTCCAGCATGGACAGGCGTGTTCCCCCATGGTGCCCCAGAAGAACATGGCAGTGGGCTACTGCTGCAAACTGCACGCACATCATGAGAAGCCAACAGCTTGACCCCACCAATCCTGCCTACTGGACTGGGGAGGGTCACTGGGAGCAAGTATCACTCGTCCTACAGCACAAGTGTAATTTCGGAGTTACTGGTTACAGGAAAGTCATAAAGCCACCAGGCTTCCCATAGGCAGATGTGCAAGTGCCAGATTCCTCCCAAGACAACATCATAAATCCTTTTGTGAACATAAGCATATCCACTGAGTTTTGCAGGCCTTTTTCATCTTGAAAGTCTTTGCACATCTTCCTGGACAGTTCTTGGCATGGTGGCATCCAACAGGCAGCAGGAACGCTACGAGTGACTGCAATGGTCACTTGTGCAGGCTGAGCAGCGAGCAACCTGTCACATCATGGTGGTGGGTGACCCTTGGACAAAGATGGAGTCACACGGAAACATTTTCAAACAGCAACTGAATCCATGACAATCCAGGTCAAGGTGGATGAGGGTGGTCATGGGTAACTCAGGATGCTCTGACCTGTGGTGAAGACAGCATTGCACACAGAGAGTCTCCACGGTGCAGGAAAACAGTCGGCAGAAAACCAGCCCTGTATGGGGCTAAGGCTCTGTACCATCTTGGTTCCTTTAGCTTGGAGCTGGGAGCAGAGCAGGGAATGGAGGGAAGGAGAGGATGGCAAAGGGGAGTGAGCAGCAGAGAAACCCTGCCTGCAGTATGGAAGATATATTGTGCTGGACGGCTGATGGCTGCCCATGCTTAGGTGCCCTGTGTGTCCTGCTCTGGGGTGCAGACAGCAGGATATTTGTTTTGGAAGAAGAAGAAGCTGTTTGTGGAAAGACAGGGGCAGTAGGAGACAACTCAGCCCCCCATCTGGGGCTGTCTACTCCTTGCAGTAGGGCTTGGGACATCCTCATCAGAGCTGTTGTGTCTCCTCACCCCACCCCAAGGCAAGCAATGTCCTTACATGTGGCTGCACGGACAACCCAGTTCCCGGAGCAGCAGCCAGTGCTCTGCCGTGAGCCACAGGGCTGCCAGCTGCTTGCCAGCACGTCAGCTGCACCAGGTGGCTTTGCCCCGGTCCTTGGCTCTCGGGAGCCAACAGCTTCATAACTTCAAGCCCAGGCTTCATCAATAAATGTGCCTTTTCCTCGTAAAGCTGTGGGTGGGTTGGAGGCTCACTGCAGGGTGTTGCCTCAGTAACAGGAGGAGAAGCTGCTGTGTGCCATGGGCTGCAGTGTCTGGACCTGCCCAGGGCAACCTCATCCTCTGCCCATGGTGAGGGACACAGCTGCCCTTTTGGAAATGGCTGCTGTGCTGCAGCAGGGCAAGACCTCGACATCACTGGGACCCCACAAAAGCCAGCCCACCCTTACGAGCACACTCTT